TAGAGCCTTGCTCTGGATTGGGCTTTGGCCTCAGGGAATGGTGGGGCTGGTGTGACCTTCCATCCGGACCACCCAAACTTTCTCCCCATCGGCAATAAGGCTGTTGCTCTCATCCTTCCTGTGTCCACTGAGAAGCACTTTCTATTTCCTTCCAGAACTTCTCCTTGGCGTTCACAACCTGGCCAACTTTAGCCCAAGTTTTGGCCCATTTCAGCTTTCAACATGTTCTCCTTATAGAGTTCAATAATGTCTAGCTTTTGATTTACAACGAGAGACATTCAACTCTTCCTTCCCCTTGAACACGTAACAGGCCGTTGTAGGGTTTTCAACTGGCCTAATTTCAATATTGCTGTGTCTCGGGGAAGAGGGAGGCCTGAGGAGCAGGAGAGACACAGGAGTGGCCAGTTGGAACAGTCAGAACACACACAACATTTATCAGTGAAGTTCACTGCCCTATATGCACACGGCTTGTGATGCCCCAAACACAATCACAAGAATAACATCAAAGATCGCCGATCACAAAGCAAATCACTGTGACATATATCATTGTAGTGAAAGAGTTGGAAATATTGAGAGAATTACCAAAACGTGACTCAGAGACACGAAGTGAGTAAACGCTGTTGGAACAAAATGGCGCTGACGGGCTTTCTCAACACAGGGCTTGCACAAACCTTCCATTTGGAGAAACCTCCCCCATCCGTGAAGCCGCCACGTGTGCTCCTGGACGCTGACGTGTTCCGTGAACCTCACACAAGGCAACGGTGTGTGGTATTCCTACACTTACATGGACACCGAAGAACCCATTCTGGGCAAAAAAGCAAGAATACCATGGAACCCACTTTGGGAAGAGCTGTGGCTGTAGGAAGGCAGGTTTTGAGGGCAGGCCAATCCAGGCAGACTCGGGGGCCAGTTTTGTGCTCAGCACCTCTGAAGGCACCACGGGCACACCCCTGCCTCCCACCCTCAGCACACCCCTGCCTCCCACCCTCACCACACCCTGTAAGGTGGAGGGAGGCTGCGTCTACACGGCTCTGTCCGGGGGAGCAGTTTCACATGACGGCCTTCTGGTCTGGAAACATCTGTCTGCCCACCTGGGCCTCACTGTCTTCACCGACTGTGTAGAACGAAAACTGTATTCCCCCAAAACAGAACTCACAACACATCCGTCCCCGGGGTTGTAAATGGCTGAAAGCCTGTGGCTACTCTCCAGGGCGCCAAAGGTTCAACTGGTTTGCCTGAGCTGACAAAATCACGGAGTTAGGAACCACACGCGAGCCCTCCTGCCTACCGGAAGTGTGAACCGCCTTCCTTGAAGTCGATGGTGAGGT